CTCGAGCTATGCACAGCCAGAAATCACACAATGGCTTTTTATTTGCAAAAGAATGTTAACCAAGGAGTAGTATAAAAATAAATGGGTAGAGAAACAAGATGGTCGAGGGATTTGCTAGCAGATATATACATCTCTGTCTCTAGATCATGAGATCAAATCCTGTTCATATCAGTAATTTCAGGCTTTCTGTATGATTTCAAGTAAAATATCCACCTGTTTCTGCCCTGAAATCTTCTTTCTGCAGAACTAAAAGAATGGTACCTAGAAGTTTTTAAAACACTTCAGATAATCAAAGATGAAAAACATGGATATAGGCATGATCCACCACCATTCTCTGAAGTCAATGGAAAGCTTCTCATTGATTTAGCTTATTTTAAATTAAGCCCCGGAGGAATAATTTTATTGTGGATGATAATTACATTAGACAAAAGTGATTTTCAAATATCTTCAAACATCTTTCAAATAGCTTAATCTGTGCTTAAGTTTACTCAGATTTGTGGAGTTACACATCTACACAGAAATTTGCAAGATTAAGATCAGATAGGCATCTTTCAATAGGCAAGCCCTGAAGCTATGAAAGCAATAGCTTAGTGGGAAGTCTGTGTTAAAGTCCTCACTCTCACTATGCTGTTAAAGCCTGATAAAAATATTTTTCACCAGAGTGAATGGAAAATGAGTAATTTTTCATAAATAAAGATTCCTTTCTGCTGGAGAAACCCAAGGAATAATACTGAACTCTGTTGCCTTGACAACATTTCCTGAAATACTCAAGTATTAAAGTTTCTGGTATGCTCAAGAAAGTTGCAGTATCTATTTCATATTAGATACTTACCACATTTATTGTGTTGGCATGCCTTCATCTCATTTGTTGGCTATTTGTCACAGAAAGTTATGTGCCAAATAATATATGAGAAATATCTGAGCTGACTTAAAGGCACCTGGTATCTTTCTTGCATATTTTCATGGCTACTGAAGGCTGTTAGATCTATGGCCTAGAAAAAAGAGCATTCTTCTGTGATGTGGGGATATTAGCAAAAGAAACACTGTTTTTCTAGCCATGCATTTCTTAACTGAGCAGAGGGTCACCTCTACAGAACAGCTGGAGGGAGGGAGTCCATGCCCTCAAGGTTTGAACTCAAACCTTGGCATTTCTGACAGGCTTTGCTGAAGGTGCCTACCAGGGGCACACCATAGCTGCTTCTGAGATGAGGACTCTTAGGTCACATCAGAACTGGCTGTTTCTCTTGCTGGCTGCTCATTAAGACTGAAAGCCTGATTTTTCAGAGGTGCTAAACCATACTGCAGGACAAAAATGAGCAGGGCCTGCAATGTTGCAAAGAATCTCAGCTTCTCTTTAAATACAAAAACCTAAGCTTTTCCTGGAAAAACAGATACCACTAGCCTCTGTGGTCACAAAGCTAAGCTTTATGCTTCTCTTGCCCTTCAGTTTTTCTATAGACTGTCCCAGATGTAATAAAAATAAGGAGAAGATTAAGCAGCACTACAATGCTAATTGCTTCTGATCCATTAGAGTGAAGTGTTTGTATACAATGTACTAGATACACTTCTCTCCAATCTCTTCTAATAATTTCTTTAAATGAAGGTGATGAAATAGTAAATTCTGCTCCTGACATTACAGATTATTTTATAGATAAATAAACTGAAAGATACTGCTCAGTGAATTTATTACTACAATTTTTATTCTCAAAGGCAAAACACAAAGTGCTGTATTATTGTTTCCTCTGGCTGTCAGTAGGTATAACTTGAGCTGTGATGCTATAATCTTTATCTAGACAGTTCCTACAGTTGTGCAACTTCACACCGAGGATGTGGTTTCCTTTTGAAGAACAGCATCAGGACACGAGACAACCCACACGATATGAATCGTCATTAATACCCAAATTTGCCAAAGAAAACAAAGAGGGAAGAGTAATCCTGATGTGAGAATCTCAAGCCTCATCTAAATTAAATCTCCAGGTGTACTGGAAGGTTGCAGGTGATCTCCTGCACAGGTTCAGGAGCTTGTTAGCTGTCCTGGCCCAAGCAGGTCTGCAGCCCACCCTGCACTGCAGCACCCTGTTCTGAGAACCATCTTCCGTGGCCACCTCTGATCCTTCATTTCCACTATTACCAGAGAATTTATGTCATGCTCTGACCCCATCCTTTAGACTACCTTGTCTGCCCAAAGGGGACACAACTGCTGACACATTATTTTCTCAATGAGTTTTGACTTATTAGTTGCTTTAAGCAAATTTAGAGGCATTAATACTGCCCCTTTGGAACCGTGCATCTCTGACAGTGTAAAAGATTTCTGTGATGAGCCAAGAAGCTAGCCTAGGGTTCTGAAAAATTGCTCTAATTATTGAAAGTTAGCTGCTCACCCGTATCTTCTTAATCTTTTGAAGCACTGCTTAATGACAGACAGTGCTTGCATGGCTCTCCTGTACCTGCATTCCCAGGTGATACCTGGAGAACTCTATTCATGGACTATCCAGGCTGCCAATACAGACTGTGATGCAGTTAAGTCAGTGTCTGAAGGGCCTCCCTGACTACACAGTACTAATCTTTTGGTGAAAGTTTCTAAGGACTTGTCCAATCTACACCTTTCAGACAGCAGTCAGCCTTCAAGAGTTGCACTATATGAGTAATTCTGCTTTGACAGGCTTTAGAGGAGTCTGGGTTTGGTTACATATTAAGAACTACTGCTGCCCTCTACTGAATTATTACGGGTTGTGCCTCTCATAATCAATGACAGCCACAAATATTCAAACCAAATTTCCAGTCTTACCAAGAACTTACCATACTTAATATTTCTATGTACTGGCAAGATGATTCAAAGGGTTTGTTTCTAATTCATCAGCATACTCTGATTCTGCAAGGGCCAGGACAAATGGAAATAATCTTTTATCTTTTTTATCTGATCCACAGAGAAGAGGTGGATCCTCGCAAAAGGTTGGACGTGTTTCATTGCTTCAGCAAAATGGTATCTCTTCTTCTGGTAATAAATAGCCATAAGAAGAGTAAGGACTATGGAGTGAGAAATCAACCTTGGGGCCAAAATGATCACATCAAGGTTCTGTCCAGAACACAATGTTTCTGATAATCTAAGCTAAAGTTCAGGTTATGACTGACAGCTAAGCCCTAGTCCAGTTGAACTAGTACTTCCTTAGTCTCAATATGTTCAGTTCTGAAAGGATACAGCTGATGACCCTCTCCAAAAGCTATGTTTCTTTCTCAGTGATGCTAGGAAGAGTAACATGAGTGTAGCCTTGCTGTATTCACATCCACTACACAAAAGGCTCCAAACAGGAACAGCTTACTTCTTTTCAACTCCCCACAGACTCCAATATCTATCTCCAAGTCTCTGAATAAGTTGCATTGCTTGTAGGTTAGATCACCTATCTTGTGAATCTAAAATGATTTTGGACTATTTTATGCTTCTCAATCTCACAAATCCAGTTACTTCTCCCCTGCAGTGCTTCCTACATTGGAATGCAACTATGGTGTCACCAATGCATAGCACTAAATTGGAAAACTTGATCAGTGGATGGGAATAGATAAGCAGATGGTAGCAGACCACTAGATTAAAGCCAGAGACACAGCCTTCCTACTCAAGAGAAAACTCAGACTGTTCTCACTAATTATCTGTGTGGCTCTCCAAAGGAATTAGATACACATGGCAAAGGAGGCAGATTAAGAGCCTGGCTAATTAAAAACCCAGTACTTCCTCCCAGTAGATGCAGAGACAACTGCACTGGGTGTCTACACACATTCTGAGTCCCTCATTTAGCAGCTACCATCCTGGCTAATATTCTGAATACTGAACCAGAAGAACCTCCAGAACTAAAACCACAAGCTGTTACTGCTTTACATCAAAGCTGAAGCTTCTCATATGAGGGCTGACACAGTCTTACATCTGTAGTAGATGGGACACAAAGAAGAGAACCTGTAATACTCATTCACTAGCAAATTTTAGCTGCTTTTATTTCTGTAAGACTTTTAGGTTTATTTCTTTTATTTATTCACTGTAAACCATACAGTACATCCAAGTACTGTACACCATACATACATACACCTACAACTGAAGTTCTTCATGGTTCCCCGTTAATTCCACAAGCTTTATTATGTACAGGCTTTTTTTTTTTTTTTCCCAGGAAAAGTGGAGTGTTAAAAAAATCCCTAAAGCTGGAGTCAAGCCATACAGCCCAGCCCCAGACCTGAGCTCAAAGCTTCAGTTCTTCTCATTGAACAGAGTTCCCTACAGGGGAAAGAGATGCTGGTGTTGCTTCTCCTATCTCAGTGACAGTGACAAGGGAAGTCCTCTGCATTTCTGCCCCTTAAACATTTCAAAGATGACAGAGAGGGACACTTGCATCGTTCAAGGATTCCAGCACAAAGGGGGCTCATCACAGCCATGGGACATGGCAATCAGTACTGACAACAAAAGATACTCTAAAAAGATTTGGTCAGCTTCAATGTGAATGCTGAGTACTCCAACTAAGAGTCAACAAAAGAGATGATTCAGATGTTTTCTGCCTTCTTGTTTCTGAATGTATAATTTACTTCTCCAGCATATTTCTCCCTCTCACCTTCTCAGCATCATTGAGATCATCTGGCCTCATTTAAGAGAAGAAATCTCACGTCGCAAGCTTTGGTAGAGTTATGGTTGCCAAAGGTGATTCCAATACTCAAATTACATCTATAAATATATCATATCTGATACAAAATAAGCAGTGCAATAGACTTTGCACATAATCATTAGAAGAGAACCAGAGAAACCATGGATGCATAGAAAATAGTGCAATTAATTCCCTATCACATAGTTTTCCAGATGACTGCAAAGCTAAAACACTGAAAATATTTTTGAAACTTAGCAACTTTGCTCTAAAATCAGCAGAAAAGAACCTTCCTTCCTATGAGAATTTTTGTCTCATCTGTAGTTGCATAAGGATATAATAGGACACGGCCCAACTCTTAAACTCTAGTTTACACTGACCTACCTCAAGGACTTTCCCAGTAATGAATTGGTGACATGCTTCACACTTGACTCCAAAAAGAACTTGATAGTCCTTTTCACAGTAAGGAGCACCATCTCTGAAAAAGAAAACCCACAAATAACAAAACACCTTTTAATAAACAGGGTACAGAGTGACTTACTCTCTGCCCTTGTCTTCAGTCTGAAATTCCCACACAATATGCAAATAGGAAAGAATTCAAGGGAAATATTTTGTAGTAAAAGAAAAAAAAAACCCAAAATATTCTCATTAGCATCTTTTAGAATTATTCCTTAAATTGCCATCAGGTAAAGGCATCCTGTACAAACCACTGAAGTAAATCTCAGTCTTTAGAACCTACTCCCTAAATCTACAGGTGGTGCAGTTTTAGTGAATCAGTGGAACTATGCCCATGGGAATGAGAGGAGATCACAGTCTTAACATAGGCAGGTAGTTTTTGTTCACCTCAGAAAAACAATCTTTGGTATTTGGCAACAGTACAAACAGTTACTTTTAAGTGTATGTTTATGTAGGTTATTAGTATGGACAAGAAACACAGAAAAAGTGGAAACAATAGTGAGCTTACAAGTATTGCTCAGGCACTGGACTGCATTTGAGAAATTACAGATTCTACATTTATTAAGTATTATACACCCCTTAGTGGCAGGTTTGTGAAACATACATTGGGGTTTTTTCTCTTTATTATATGCTTGCAGGAGTGAACAGAGACTGTATCCTTATTTCCTCTGCTTTATCATTACACCACTATTCCCCATTCTCTTCCTTTATGCTTCCTCCCACTCAAACCCCTCTTCATTAGTTTCTTATATGGAGATGAGAAACAGTGGCAGGTCAATCACATCATCAGGTTTACTCTAGCAAAGGCAAGCAATGGACAGGTTCCTACTTTTTTTTAACCCTCAAAATCATGTGTTAAAAACCAAAATGGCACAAAGCTTTATCGGGCTAACACAGAAAACAGATGGAGGAATTCACCTAATCCTTTGTAGGAACATGGAAATATATACCCCTTTCTGTAGTCCTGACACTAAAAACCAACTCAAAGTTTCCTTTCCCAACTCAGCTCCCACTGGAAACAAAGATTTTTGTGTATTCAGAAAGGTGGCAAAGTTGGATTTCAACAGGAGGATTTTGCTGCAAGCTGGCACCAAGAACTCATGCCAAGAGTGCAGCGGTTACTTACTTGCTGATGTATTCCCCGGTGAGGACCTTCCCACAGGCCTTGCACTTGAAGCACCCCAGGTGCCACTGCTTATCCAGAGCTAGCAATGCTTGTCCATTTTTTATGTCTCTTCCACAGCCAGCGCAATCTGCAAGTAAACAAACCAGAAGCATTTGTCCTCAGTTACTTGGTTCCTTAACCCTCCCTGACCACCCACCCGCTGCAACCCTCGACAAGCGAAGGGGAGAACTGCAGAGCAGTGAAAGGTGGGGCTTCCCTTCCTCAAACACCAGGTCCTGTACAAAGACTCAAGCTCCACCACTACAGACATACTCGGTAGAAGAGGGGAAAAAGTACCTCTTCTGCTTTTCATGCTGTTTGTGATTCAAACACTGCCAGGCAAGCTCTGTACAAACTTCAGATTTTGTTAGGAACGAGCTACAAAACCCATCACTGCAAAAAGTTCCTGTGTTCGCAAGCTATCAGTGTTCTTTCTCCTTTTGCTTTTAGCAAGATCTTGACTGCTTACGTGAAGCTAAATACAGAGGCTTGAGTGAGCACCCTCAGGATGCTGCACTTGCCCGTTGGGTGGCAGCAAAGCCCAGGGTGTCCACCCAGCTCAGGGGCGGTGGCACGTCTCGGCCAGGAACAGAGAAGAGACCTTTTCTCGGGGAGGGGCCAAGGCCAGGGTGACCGCAGTATGACAGCAGTGGAGGCTGCATGGCGGGTGTATTGTCCTCCACCTGCAGGTGTGGAAAGCTGTAGTTCTCCTGGTCTCTAACCGGCATAAGGACTCTTGCTCAGGGATTTTGGTACTTCTTTGGTAGTCAGCACTCTCTTTTCACTGTGATTCTGAAAGATTCGTTGATGGCAGAAAGTAGACCTGAAGCCAGGAGCACCGAATGCCCTCTGTTTCAGAGGATGCCACAACGTCTCACGTCACATCACAAATCTTTGGCTCAGCCCCAAGCTCCCCTTCCTCTCAACTCAAACATAAACCACCCAGAGAGATTTCCTGGTAAGGGACAATTCAGCACATGGTAAGATCTGAAGAGATTGATGTGGCAGACAGCACTGAACTGCGAGGTTGTGCCCAGCCTCAGGGGACAGAGGGACTGATGGCAGGGAAGGCCTGGAAGATCAGTGAAGCAGAAAGGGAATGCCCATCAGCTGAGGCACATGTGGAAGCCACGGAGGAGACAGCCTGAAAAAAAGGATTTTCACTATTTTATTATCCCCAAACTTGGTGTTCTTCAGCTGAATGTAACATCCTCTCCACACATCTGAAACATCGACAAATACCAACAAATGGAGATCAACAAGAACGGAGCAATCTGAGCAATTAAAGCACAGGCACCATGGAAAAGATCATCCTGGGTGCACTGCTCAAGGTAATGCAACAGCTACAGCCTGAACACCTTCATCTCCCCACGGGTTTACAGTACAGGCAGTACCACACCTTACAAAAGGACAAGTCCAAATTTGTTATCACATCTGATAATGAGAGGACACTCACTCCTTTTGACAATAAAGGCCCTGACTTTGCTGCATAATAGGCCAAGAGATCCCCAAACATTATATGCTCTGCATTCTGCTATCCACGTCACCATTTGTTGCACACCCCTCTTTCTTTCACTGCTGTTCTTCTCAAATCACTTAAAAAAAAAAAAAAAAGGCACTAAGAAGAAGAACCATGGTATTTTGTGATAAAATGCAAGTCACGGACTGTTGAGACGACTTGGGCTTGAAAAGCAGCCCTGTGATGTTGTAATACCAGGACTTTGCTCTAGAGGACAAATGTTACAAATTGGAACCACAAAATGACAAGTACTGACACTATGTAATGGATCCCTCTGCTCTTTGTGCCAGCTCAAGGCTCCACATCACTCTGCAGTGACAGCAAAGGCTGGAACAGGTCACCATGGGGCTGAGGAGACAAGCAAACATCTGTCAGGATGGCTCTGTACACTGATCCTGCTTTTGATTTTGGGAGGATACTGGAGGTCCATCATATCTGGAGGTCTCTTCCAGCCCACGTTTTCTTATGCTAAATCTGAAACCATGCAACTTGCCTTCTGATTGTGACAACAAACGGGAACCTTGCTCCAGTCTTGGTGGGTGTGGAACTGCAGTGTTAAACAGCACTCATTTCTCAGCTTCCTAGCACTACTGCTTCTCCCTAGTGTGCCACCTTCTTCGTTCCTGATCTGGGGTCCTGCCAAACTGTAATGCATTCCCCGTTACATTAATCCCTCAAAAATCTGCTGTGTTTGCCATGCTTTTTTCAGCTTTATCCAAGAAGCTTTTGTGAAGCTGAAATTTCTCAGATATGGAACCAAGAAAGAGATTTTTAAGGTACTTCATTCTGCTTCTAACTGATTTTCTGAAACAGTCAGAATAGAAAAAAATGCCTTACACAAAAGGTCTACTTAGTCCAGTATGTTTATTTTTATTGGTGTCAAAACCAGTTGCACGGAGGAAGTAGGAATCCATGAAGCATCTCTGCCTGTTTAATTGCTTATTTGTAAGCCAGAGGTGGTGTTGCTGCACTTACTCTTGTGCTTGTGCCTGATACAAGGGGTTGATAACAAGCTTTTATTATTCTGCAGCAACAATGTCATTTACTTACTCTTCCTGGATACCTTGAAGTGTTTTGCAAGAGTAAATTAACATTGTAATTTCCATTCTGTTAATATCACAGATATGTTGAACAACTAGAATCAAAGTAAACTAATAGCCCCATACTGTCTTACTAGGCTGAGATGGCTTTTAACTAAACCTGATGTTAACTCTGGCAGAACAGTATGGCATACATGAAAGGCTAGCAATTATCATTATGTCCTAAAATAGAAAGCAAATAAGACTGGGCTAAAAAAAAAGCCAAAAACATTTGTTCATCCAAATTCTACAAATAAAAGGCATTTATGATCTCAGGCCTGCATGAGGCACATTAAAGCCTTTGGCTGAATGTCATCAGTGCACAGCATATGCAGGCAGGATCTCAGTGTCACATTAAGCACAATCTGCAACAGCCTAACCTACATGCTGCAAATAAAAGTGCTGTGAGGTAGGACCAGTGGTCCACAACCATATGCCAGGACAGGCTTGTACTAAAAAAACCTGAAAACCTCTCCCAGAATTCTGTGTAACAGTTCTCACAACAGTTCTCTCTACCTTCATACCTTGGTCTAACAGACTACACACCTTGATCTTAAGCTTTCTTGTGTACTTTTTTTATGATAGAACCTGGACTCTCCCCTACTCCCATTCCTTACACATTCAGCCGTGCCAGGAAAAAGAAGAGGAGAAGGAGGAGTAAAGTGCAGTGTGCTGGTTAAAATACAGAGCGAGCAGTACTGTTCCTATAGCCACTTGTGATATAAAGAAAAGCATACCACAGAAGTCACTATGTGGAATTACATTTGAGCTCTAGGAAAACTTAAGATGAGACATTTCTCAGCACTGATTCTGAGAAGAAATGGGAAGTAACACATGCTGATATGTGTTGTGTCCATGCCCACAATCTTCATCTGTATGATTGCTGTTTCTCAATAGAAGCACTGCAGTACGACTTCAGTAAGCACTTGTTCAGAATAAGGATATCCAGGAATGGCAGGAAAATAACATATTCCCCTAAAATCCATCCTAAGCAGGGAAAAAATGATTGTATCTGAAACCACTGGACATAGAGTTACCCAAATCACAGTGTAGCCTCTCTGGGCTGCCTGTGACACCAGCACCTGCAGCCTCCACAAGCAACATCCACTTGCTCAGACACTGTGAGTACAAGAATTGAATTCACTCTCCCTCGTAAGAGCATTAGCTGACAGCACCATTTTTTAGCCAAGCAAAAGCTTCTTACACAATTCTCTGCCAGAGATGCTTAAACATACCTGTTGTGTCTTTCTCACATACCCTGGCTAGGCCTGCTCGATCCGAAGACACATCCTAACATATATAAGCTACTGCTTATATGCTTATAATAACCCAGAAAGGTGTCCTCTTTGATGGGTCCAGATACAAAAGCAAATGCCAATGCCTGGACAGAAGGGCTGTGATGAGGAGCCAGCCAGCCCAAAGGCATGGAAAAGTGGGGGGAAAGGACAGGGGAAAGTGGCATGGCACTGTAGTATTAGATATGATCACAACCTCCATCTCCCAAGCACCTGAAGCAGCCCCACTGAAGGATGCAGGCTGGGCTGAGCTGCCACCCATGACGCCTTGCTTGCAAAGATCCCATGAGAAAAATGTATTTCCCTTTTTAGTATCTGCATCACCCCAGGCCTCCAGGAGTGAAACATCCTGCACAGCAACCCCTTCGTCACCGCCTAAATTAAGCGGTGGATTTTCTTCCTCTGCCTCCCTCCCCTGCTCTCAGCCAATAGCAGAGAGCACAGATCACAGCACAGGGCTGGGCTCCGAGCTGATCCAGCTGTATTAACCCTGTGCACACTGCACATGACTTTGCCCACTCCCATTCGGCTTGCTTTGAAAATCTGCCAGCAAATACAATTTTATCTCACATTCTCTGCTCACCCCAGGGAAATCACTGCTACCTGCTTTTGTCCTAACCAACATGGTTATGCAAAGACACATGCATGAGAGTACCAGCTCTGCTCCACGCAGGGTTAGCTCTGCCAACAGAGCAGGCTGACTTAATGATGCATAATTAAGTCACCAGAAAGTTCCTTTCAGTCCCAATGGCCACTAGTAGCACATGCCTTGATACAGTCTGAAGCTGTCACAACCTATAGGAGTCACAGGAGTAATACTCTTATTATGCTCCTTTTGTTACTGTTCCTCTCCCTGTAAAACACAGATCCACTAGTTTTATAAAGCCAACACCGGCAGGCTAAAGAGGAAGTTAAGAGGAACAGTGATTTGGAAGTGAAGAGACAAATGTTATCACTGGAGTCAAGGTCAAAAAATCTCTAATTACAAATAACTCTTAGCCACCTTCAAAAACAACTGAGATGCCAATAAGTCTTCTGTGGCAATTTGAAGGTTGCACAACTGTACTTTCTCATAGCGTTGGGAAGACCAGAGTTTTTCCCCAGTCACCCTTTAACCACAGAACAGGCAATGACTCAAAGTCTTGTTTTAAAACGAAAAGTTCTAATGATATCATGGAGGCTTTTCCAGACCATC